GTTGGCTTTTTGGAGGCATGACAGGTTCTAGAATATGTGACTGCCCCAAGGCCAGGGTGTGTCAGTGCAAGGCACAGCCCCCTTCAGTGGCTGACTGCTTAATAAGCAGTCAGTGATTTGGCTAATGAAGGTAGTGATAATAATGATAATAAAATAGTACCCGACACTGACCCTGCTTCCCAGTGAGTCATCCCTGGTTGGGCCTGAGAGTAGAGATCAGGCTGAAAGGTGGATGGTCAGTGAACCATTGCTGAGCTGGCTCCAGATAGCTGGACCCTGCCATGACTCACTCTAGCCTGTGCTGGTGGCAAGAGCCTGGTCTTCAGAGTCCCACAGACCTGTGTTCAAATCCCAGTACAGTGATCTACCCAGGCCTTGAGTAATTTCAAACTCTGTCTTGAGCCTGTTTCCTTCTCTACCTTCCCTGGTTGATGAGACACAGGTCCCATTCCTAAGAGGATGCTGATAATGGAGAAAGAGTCCCCCACCTTCGGAAAGCCTGCAGTCTCACAGAGAAAGCATTACTGTATTTTCCTTATTACATTATACTGCAATTCTCTCTTTAGTTTTGCTGTTTTGTCTTTGTGTTTCTTGCAGACAGCTGGGGTAGAGCATAAGAAGTGACTCAAGAGACAGCCATAAAACAAACAGAAGTGTAGCTCCCAAACCACATGGGGGGTGGGGGGGTAGGAAAAAATTTTGAAAGGGGGCAAGGTAGGGTTAATAAGGGAAGCTATCTGGGTGATGGAAACGTAAGTTGAGGGGGAAAAGGCTGGGGGGGGGCGTAGTGGAGAGGTGTGCCTTCTAATTAAGGGTTGTGCAGGGTTGGAGGAGGGGAAGGGTAAACGGCAGGAAGACTCAGCCCGAGGGTTTAAAGAGGTGCAACAATAAACTCATGGGATCAGTTAGTAAAGGGACATGAAAGATAGAATGACCTGAAATCCCTACATCTGCTGGATTTGGTTCCTATGGAGAGATAAGGCGTCTGCTCTGGGAAGAATTGCCTCCTGTGTCTGCAAGGTGAGAAGGGGCCGTGTGTGCCAAAGTGCTGGGAAGGGCAGGGCAGGGAGGGGTGCCTGTGGGCCTGAGGTCTGGGTCTGGGGTGTCTGCTGGGGTTAAGGGTTGGGGGAGATGCAGGACCTGTTCTGAGTTCTAAAGGATATTTCTGTCCTGGCCGGTGTTGCCCAATGGGTTGGAGTGTCATTCTGTGACCAAGAAGGTGCCACTTCGGTTTCTACTAGGGCACAAACCTAGGCTGTGGTTCCACCTCTGTCCAGACGCATGCGGAAGGCAGCTGATCAATGCTTTTCTCTCACATCAATATTTCTCACTCTCTCTTCCTCTCTCTCTCAAAGTAATGGGAGATAAAAAAGGATATTTTTAAAAAATATATTTTATTGGTTATGCTATTACAGTTGTCCCATTTTCTCCCTTTTATTCCCCTCCACCCTGCACACCCCCTCCCACCTGCATTCCCCAATTTAGTTCATGTCCATGGGTCATATATAGGTTCTTTGGCTTCTACATTTCCTATACTGTTCTTACCCTCCCCCTGTCTATTTCCTACCTATCATTTATGCTACTTATTCTCTGTACCTTTTCCCTCCTCTACCCCTCCCACTCCCCTGCTGCTAACCCTCTTATGTGATCTCCATTTCTGTGATTCTGCTTCTGTTCTAGTTGTTTACTTGGTTTGTTTTTGTTTTTGTTTTAGGTTTGGTTGTTAATAACTGTGAGTTTGTTGTCATTTTACTGTTCATATTTTTAATCTTTTTCTTAGATAAGTCCCTTTAACATTTCATATAATAAGGGCTTGGTGATGATGAACTACTTTAACTTGACCTTGTCTGGGAAGCACTTTATCTGCCCTTCCATTCTAAATGAAAGTTTTGCTGGATAGAGCAATCTTGGATGTAGGTCCTTGCCTTTCATGACTTGGAATACTTCTTTCCAGCCCCTTCTTGCCTGCAATGTTTCTTGTGAGAAATCAGCTGACAGTCTTATGGGAACTCCTTTGTAGGTGACTGTCTCCTTTTCTCTTGCAGCTTTTAAGATTGTCTCCTTATCTTTCATCTTGGGTAATGTAATTATGATGTGCCTTGGTGTGTCCCTTCTTGGATCCAACTTCTTTGGGACTCTCTGAGCTTCCTGGACTTCCTGGAAGTCTATTTCCTTTGCCAGATTGGGGACGTTCTCCTTCATTATTTTTTCAAATATGTTTTCAATTTCTTGCTCTCTTTCTTCTCCTTCTGGCACTCCTATGATTTGGATGTTGGAATGTTTAAAGATGTCGTGGAGGTTCCTCAGCCTCTCCTCATTTTTTGAATTCTTGTTTCTTCGTTCTGTTCTGGTTGAATGTTTCTTTCTTCTTTCTGGTCCACACCATTGATTTGAGTCCCAGTTTCCTTCTCATCACTGTTGGTTCCCTGTACATTTTCCTTTATTTTACATAACATAGCCTTCATTTTTTCATCTAATTTGTGACCATACTCAACCACTTCTGTGAGCATCCTGATTACCAGTGTTTTGAACTGTGCATCTGATAGGTTGGCTATCTCTTTGTCACTTAGTTGTATTTTTTTCTGGAGCTTTGATCTGTTTTTTCATTTGGGCCATTTTTTTTTTTTGTCTCAGCGCACCTGTTATGTATAAGAGGCGGAGCCTTAGGTGTTCACCAAGGTGGGGCAACCACATCACTGCGCTGTGATGCTATATGAGGGGGGTGTCTAAGAGGAAACGATGCTGCTTACTCTGCTCTCTGCCAGATTTTAGTCCCTTCCCCCACTACCCACAAACAAATTGGGCCCTTCTGTTGCTGATACCCATGTGGGTGGGCTTGTGTACATTCTAGGACTCTGGGTCTCTGCAATGGACTCTCCTGTGAGGCTGGGAGTTTCTCCCACTGCTGAAATCCACACAGGTGTTTTCAGTCAGAGGTTTGAGGCTTTATTTCCCTGCACTGGGACCATGGGTTATGCAGTTTGTCTCACTCCCCAGTCGTTCCTCCTGGTTTATCTGCACTTGAATGTGGGACTGCCCAGTCCGCAATCCACCACCTTGTTGGGCCCACCAGTTGCAGCCTTGCCCTCCCCTGTCCTCAAGCTGCTGCCTTGCCATGAGTCCTCTCCGCACTGGCTGCCCGTCTCCACCCCTCCTACCAGTCTGGATAAATGATTCTTCTTTAACTCCTTGGTTGTCAGACTTCTATACAGTTCAATTTTCTGTCAGTTCTGTGTGTTTTTTGTTTTTAAATTTGTTGTTTTCCTTCTTTTGGTTGTGCAAGGAGGCACAGTGTGTCTACCTACACCTCCATCTTGGCAGGGAGTCTCAAAAAAGGATGATTTTATTTGGGCATTTGATTAGGTTCTGACTGAAGAAGCTGTTAGGAAGGGCATGGCCTGGTTGAGAAGAGGGTGGATGTTGGAGTCACCGTGGGGAAAAGGGGTGATTGGCTAGGTGAGGCACTAAATGCCAGGCTCTGGGTAGACCTTGTAGATGTGCAGATGCAAGTCTGCCTACTTTAGGGTTTACTTTCCCTTTTCCTGTGACACACAGAAGATGGAGAACACACCCTGGTGTGAGGGTGTCTGTATGTTGTACGTCCCACCCTTGGGTGCAGGGGTGTATGTGTGATCGTCTGGCCTGGGTGCATGTCTCTGTGGTATAATGTGTTTGGGTCTGTTACGTGTCACTGAGTAAGTGTATCTGTATTTCCATGCTGTGTATGGGTGGATGGAGGGTCTATTTTATGGGTCTATGTAGGTGTGTCTAAGTTTTACGTCTTAGTGTATGGGTGGGTGTAAGAGAGCCATAGGTCTGAGTGTGTGTCTTTGTTGTGGGGTCTGAAGTGTGTGTTTCTGTCTCATTCTGGGTTTCTGAGTGGTGAGTGGGTGAGAGGCACTGGAATGCGTGCCTTGCTATTACTACTGGGTGCCCATAATGGGTACAGAGCCAATTCAGCTGTGGTGTCTATCCTGGGGGACCTTAGGGAGAGGCCTGAGTGATGATTTCTAGACTGTCTTCCCTGAGTGAATGATCTCTCATTGAGCAATAATTAACTTGGCCACCGTGAGAAGAATTCAAACTGTGGTGGTGAAGGGGGTGGGGCCTGGTCAAGGCAGGCCTTATTGCTGCAGAAAGGAGGAGTCCTGAAATGGGGGCCCATAGGCATGTGTGTTGTTATCATTCCCTCCTGTCTACCTACCCTGCAGGTCAGTCACCCTGACCTGGGTGCTATTCAAAATATTTAACCAACAGTGAGGAACAGGGATTGACCAATCAGAACAGATACAAGCTGTGCCCTGAATGGAGCAGTCCTGGAAGCCATGGTCATGCCAAGCATTGCCTCTCTAGTTGCCGGACAATGGGAATGGATTCCAGGAGAAGGACTGAGATACAGGGGCTGTACAAGAGAGTTCAGGTGGCTTATGGCAGTGCTGTGAACCAATGTCATGGAAATGTTTCAGACTTTAACAACTAAACCTCTACTTGCCTTGGCCTTTGAACCCAGCCATGGGTGTCCTTGCCCCCTCCCATTGGGAAAATCATGGACCATCCTCTTCTCTTGGCTGTAGGCATGGGGTAAGTGAACGATGCCAAACTGTAGAAATTCCAGGGACTTTGCCTGTTTCAGACTGGGGATGGGCTGCTTTGGTATCCTTACTGGCTGTGATCTGATTCTTACTGAGGTGAGAGGAAACCTGTGAGAGGCAGGAGCTGAGGGCGGGGTCAGTAAGGGGTTGGGGAACAAAGAGAAACCCCTTTCCTTCAAAGATAAAGGCAAGGAGGTGATGGGGCTCTGAACTGGATTCATCTTATGCAAATCTCATCCCCAGAAATGAAATCATCACCCCACTCTGAAAATTAATATCCCATTTCTCTGAGGCCTGGCTCCTGCATTCCTTATGGTTCCTTCCTCTTGCGCTCCCTGTGATGGGGGCTGGAGGCTGGAGGCTGAGGTGAGATGGTCCCTTCTACATGCACAAACTACAGGGTCAGGCTCCAAGGGTGTAAAACATTTTATTACGAAAACTAATAACTTAGGTCAGTTCTGTACAAAGTCAGTAGGACGTCTGGTCCAATGAGCAGTCTAAGCTTTCATCCCCATCCCAGGAGGGGACAGGAGTCTTGCATCAGAAAATATGGGGACTACCAAGGGCTGGCCAGACATCTGGAGCACTGTGCCAGACCAAGGGAGGCCAAGATGGGGTGTGGCCGAGTGAGGATCCATACAGTCCATCTGGCTGTGCCAGGGCCAACTTGCCCCTGGGAAGCCAAGTGCTGTCTGCACAGGCTTGCCCCTCTGGGGGCACTGGGTCACCCCCGGGGATAGCTTGGCTAAATCAGTGCTTCCAACTTCTGCTCAAGCTACAGTTGATCTCTGCGTGGACTGGAGCAGGTCGACTCAGCAAAAGCATGTCCTCGAGCAGGCCAGTGATGTCAACATCTCCAATGATAGGGCGAAAGAAGAGGTCCCCAAGCAGGCTGGGAGGAACGGACTTGAGGGTAGAGGCTGTGAGGAGGACACGAGCCAAACGGCCTTGGCCTGCTGGGCACCAGGGTTCCAGGACCTCACACAGTGCTTGATGAGCTTCCTGTTGCAGGTGCCAGATGCGGGAGGAGGCATGAAGGCCTGGCATGTCTGTGGGCAGAGGGTGAAGAGGGCTGGTGAGCACCCCATGCCCAGCCACCCCTGGGTGAGACTGGCTCCAGACCTGAGGCTACTGCTCAGCCTTTGAGGCCCCACTGCCACCTCCTCCATTTACTTTTTTTACTTTATTCATCCATCCATTTATGAAGAGGCAGTATAGAGTAATGGTGAAGAGCCAGGCTGCCTGCATTTGAATTCTAGGCTGTCACTTATTAGCTGTCTGACCTTGGGCAAGTTATGTCAGCTCTGTGCCTTGGTCTCCTCATCTGTAAAATGGGTATAATATCAGTACCTATTTCCTCAGCTTGTTATTTTTTAGAAGATTTTATTAATTTCTTTTTAGAGAGAGGGAAGGGAAGGAGAAAGGGAGAGAAACATCAATGTTCAAGAGAAATATTGATAGTTACCTCTCACATACTCCCAACGGGGGACCCTGCCCACAACCCAGGCCTGTGCCCTGACTGTTTCAAACTGGCGACCCTTCAGCTCACAGGCCAGTATTCAATCCACTGAGCCATACCAGCCAGGGTCTAGGCTTGTTACAATGTTTCAATGAGCTGGTATATGTAAAACCGTAGAATTGGGCCTAACATATGGTGAGTATAATATGACTATTTTCCTATTATTATTATATTTAATTACTGTAATTTCTTGCGGGCCTCTTGGCAAGGAGTTCTCATCTAGATGCTCTGCAGATTACAAAGAACACTACCTCAATCCATTGCTTTCCTGGCTGAACTTTACAAAGGCTCCTCCCTCCCCTCCTCCACACCTCCTTATTTTCATTCCTCTTCTCTGTGTGATCTATCTAAACCCACATAATTTTACCTGTGTCTGAGGCACAGCTGTGTCCACCTACCCTCCCTCCCTGACTCCCACCTTTCCTGAGGGTCAGGGCAAGCTTTTGGGGCAGAGTGGCAAGGGAGTCTTTGGTGTGAACAGATTTGAGTTTCTATTACTGCTCTGCCCCTACCTGGCTGTGACCTTCAGCAAGTCACTTAGCCTCTCTGAGCCTCTTTCGTGAGAGGTCTGATATAAGGAGGACCCAAAGAGATAACAAATGTCAAACCCTTAGCAGGTGCCTTCCCTGGCCGGGCCCTCCCCCCTCCAGCCTTGGCCCTCAGCCTGTAGTGTCTGGGAGCTCACCAGGGTTGAAGAGGATGGTCCCTTTCAGGTAGGCATACTCTTTGGGGCCCAGCTCCAGGCTCCAGAAGGACTCCAGGCAGCACTGAAGCCACTGCACTGCAGCAAGTGAGGGCTGGGGCCGATCCGGCCGCTGGCCACTGCCTGCACTGCCGCTAGGCTCCTCCAGCAAGATCTTCCTGAGTATGCTGGGAACTGGGGCCTCCGCCACCTCGAAGGTCACAGTGTCTTGGGCCAGCCCAATTAGGAAGAGGGGGCCCCAGCAGCCCCGCAGCAGCTGCCGCTGATCCTGGGGGAGCAGCTGGCAGAAGGACGGCAGGTTTCTGAGGAAGACCACGGTCTTGGCCAGAACGTCCAAGGCCTCCCGGCAAGTGCGATGGGGGGCACACAGCCTGACAGGCCGGTGCTGCCTGCAGAGGCAGTGCCTAGGCGCCGGGGGCACCGAGGGCCTGGCCCTGAGGCTGGGGCTCAAAAGTGCATACAGAATGGCTGGGCGCTCTACAGCACACTGGCATGGGCAGGTCCCCGCCTGGCTGGAGCTCATGGTTGAGGATCCACTCCTTCTTCCTCCAAGCTCTCCCGCCCTCTGCTGTGCGCTGTGGGTGCTATTTATATTCCCAATGGGATGGAGGGGGGAACGGCCTGGCAACCTTGACTCCAGGAGTCATGTTCATTGAAAAAAAAAAAAAAGAAATACACTGACCCTGGCAGGCCTGGCGGGGAACTGTTGGGGGAGGGGTACTTGGGCGTTCCACGTGGCCATGATATCACTTCAGTCAATGAAGTGGATGGTGCAGGGCATGGGGCCACCTGTCCACTGGCCCAGCTGCCCCTTATCGGATGACTCAAGTAGATAAACAGGGTTATTAACCCCAGCTGTACCAGGGAACCAAGGCCTCAGGTGCACAATCAGCAGCTGACCATGGCAGCCTTCCCTACTGGTGCCTACAGGACTCACTAAACTGGGAAGGCAGCCCCAGAGCTGGACAAGCCTTGAACACAAGGCCCAACCTGGAAGTGCCTTATCACTGGCCTGTTTGCCTAACCTTGGGGCTCAGTTCCTGTTGTTGGTAAGGAGCAGGCTGCAGGGAAGGGAGCCAGAAACCTGGGGGGCTGGGAGGACTTTGCCCACTGTGCAGTGCAGGAGGCTCCTTCCTCTGACTCCAGTTCTGGGACCTCTGTAGAAATAATATCCTTAAGAACTCTCCTTCTCCAGTCTGGATTCCCAGAGCTCCTGAAAGGCTGTATCTGTTGGGAAGCCCTTGCAGGATGATAATGAAATATGGCTGCTGCTTCCTGAATACCTACTATGTGCTGGGAACTCTCCACTCTAATATTCAGAGCCTCCCTATGAGGTAAGATTTTCACTTTTGAGACTCAGAGAAGTGAAGCAAATTGCCCAAGGTCATGATGCTAAGAAGAAAGAGAGAGCCCAGATCTGTTCGATTTCAAAGTCTTTGCTTGTTCTTCCACACCCATTGACCCAATTGTGCAGCTAGAAGAACTCTGGTGGCCTGAGTTTCCCAGCGTGGGTGGCTCCCTGGGCCCTCACCTTGGCACTGCCTTGTTTGCAAGTGTTGCCCACTTAAACCTACGCAGAAACATTGCTCTGTCTCTAGCCACATGGTAACTCTGTCCCTGGCAACTGTCCCAGGTGGCGGGGCACGGGGTGTGAGAGTGGCAGGAAGGTCCTCAACTGTGTCATGTCTGTGGACCTTGCCAAGCCCAGCCTGCCTGGGCAACTGTCACCGTCCCTGGCATTAGCTCCTGGCTCCCAGTTGCAACCTTGGGCTGACCCCCAAATCTCTGTGAGCCTCAGGAGCTTCATCTGGAACAGTAATGCCTGCCTGCAGGGCTGCTGTGAGGACAAAGTGAGGTCCTGGATGTCAGATTCCAAGCAGTTTATGGCATACGTTAGGACTTTGCTCCGCATTGCCTCTGCCTAAGGACCTAAGCCTCAGCAGACAAACAGGCATGCCTCTTTCATCTGTTAATAATTTTAATCCTTACATTTATAAAGTTCCTTTCATGTCCTTTTTTTCCTCAATCTTCATATCTTCCCTTCAAAGGAGACTCTGGGGTCAGACTGCCTGGGTCTAAAGTCTGCTGCACCACTTAGTCGGGCGACCTTGGGCAAGTCACTTTAGATTTCTGTGCTTCAGTTTCTTCATCTTTAAAAGGGTAGCAAGAAAGGCAAATAGTGGATATTGGTTTTGTGGGGCCTAAAACTTATACAATTTGGAGGGCTGTCTTTTTTTAAATTTATTGACTTGAGAGAGAGAGACAGAGAGAGAGAGAGAGAGAAACAGGATTTTGTTGTTCTACTTATTTACACATTCATTGGTTGATTCCTGTATGTTCCCTGACCAGGGATCAAAACTGCAACTTGGGCGTATCAGGACGATGCTCCAACCAAAAGAACTACCTGGCCAGGGTGAAGGGCTCTATTTAGCAATAGAAAAGCAAGTAAGTATAAAAGTGGGTATTTAAAATGAGAAAACAAGTCACTACCAATTACAAACTAAAATGAGCTGACTGAAAACACAGACATCAGAAACTCAGGAAAATAACAAAATACTTTTGCTGACCAGTTGCCTGACAATATTTGCCTGCGTGTTTTAGCTGTACACTTTTTGCTCATCTCTTCACCTGTCAGTGCTAGTTCTTTTGAAACCATCACAAACACAAAAAGTTTGCAAGTACAGGGAACTATTTTTTTTTACTTTGAACCATTTGAGAGTAAATTTTTGCCTTCCTAATGCCTCACAACTCTCGAATACTTTAGTGTGTAATTCCTACAAACAAAGATGTTCTCCTATATAACCATAATATAATCATCAAAATCAAGACATGAACATCTAATCTCAGACCCCATTTCAGTTTCACCAAATGCTCCCATGACCTAAGTTACAGTGAAAGGGCCCGGTCCAGAACCTCACACTACATTTCTCTGTCCTGTCTCTTTTTCTCTGTCAGTTGGGGAACCTTCTCTCAGTCTTTCCTTGCCTTTCAGGACCTTGACACTTTGGAAGGGTTGTAGTTATTTGGTAGCAAATCTCTCAATTTGGGTTTGTTTGAGGCTTCCTTATGATTAGATTTGAGTTACGTATCTTTATTTTTTTACTTACAAATGTTTTATTTATTGATTTTAGAGAGAGACAACAATTTATTGTTTCACTTATTTATGCATTTATTGGTTGATTCTTTTTTTTTTAAGACTTTACTTATTTAGCTCTGGCTGGTGTGGCTCAGTGGATTGAGTACCAGCCTATGGACTGAAATGTCGGGGGTTTGATTCCCAGTCAGGGCACACACCTGGGTTGTGGGCCAAGCCCCCAGATGGGGGCGTGCAAGAGGCAACCGATAGATGCACGTCTCACACATCGATGTTTTGAAAAAGAGATTTTTAAAAAATCTTTAAAAAATATTTTACTTATTTATTTTTATTTCTTTTTAAAAATATTTTATTTATCTGTTTTATTTTTAGACAGAGAAGGGAAGGGAGGGAGAAAGAGAGGGAGAGAAACATTGATCAGGATTGGGACCAAACCAGTAACTCAGGCATGCGTCCTGGCTGGGAATCAAACTGGCAACCTCCTGCCTTGCAGAGGATACCCAACCAAATGAGCACACCAGTCAGGGCACTGGTGGATTTTTGTATGTGCCTTGACTGAGGATTGAACCCGCAACCTTGGCATATTGGGACAATGTCTAACCAACTGACCTACCAGGCCAGGACCAAGTTATGTATCATTAGTAGGAGTATCACAGAAGTGATGCTGTGTTCTTCTTGATACATTCTTTCAACGAACACACATTTCCATTTGTCCCATGGTTCACTTTGGTCACTGAATAAGGGATGTCTGCCAAACTTCTCTATAGTTACTCTTTCCTCTTTGCAATGAATCAGTATTTTGTGAGGAGGCATTTTGAAATAATGTAGCTATTCCTCCTCATACTTTGAATGTATGTATGTAGGTACTTAGGTATGAACTCACGGTCTCCTATTTCACTCAGTGGCTTGTAATCTGTCATTATCATTATTTATTTTGATGCTCAGTTTGTCACAGACTTGGCCAAAGGGGGCCGCATTCAAGCTGGAGTCTACATTCTTTTGATATTCTCCATGATTCTCTGAACACCTTTTATTTTCTGGTAAAACAAAATGTCATTTTTCCAGCTCCTGTAATCAACCATTACTCCAAGAAGCTCAGACTCAATCTTTTAGTGGAGAATAGTATGTAAAAACTGTGACCTGGGCACTGGAGTCATATTTAGAAATCAAGATCCGCTCATTGCTGTTAGGGTGTCACTGCTCCCGGGCCCTCCCAGAGCTAAGGGACGTGGGTACACGAGTGCACTAACACACACGTTTATATTGAGCTCTATACCTATTTATAGATACTAAAAAACATGAATTCAGACTACTATTTACAATGTTAACCTACTATAATGGGGCTTATTCCAGTTTTCACCCTTTCTATATTTATGCTTCCCTTCTCTGACACTGATAAATCTGGCTTCCATTATTCTTAATTTATTAACTTGTTGGATCAAGCTCCTGCTTGTAACCAATCTCCCATCTCTGCCCCACCCCATCCCATGAGAGATACTTTCCTCACCCCACTTGGGCTCTGATACTTTTTGCCAGGATGCCCACCCCCCACTCAGGGTCCCCTTCTTCACCATGCTGAGCCTCTGTCACCCCATGCCAGGTCACCACCACTGGTGGTTGCCCTCCTCACCTTGCTGGGGCTCCTTCCCCCTCTGGCACACACCTCTACCTTGTTGTGCCCAACCTAATTGTTTCAGGACTAAAATTTTTCAGGAAGAGAAAGGAAGAGGAGGAGGTAAAGCTGTCAATGACTATTAAATATAAATTTCTACAGTGAGATTAGAGAGATGATTCTGTTTTTTTCTCTTGCATGGTTGGTAAAAAAAAAATTCCTTCTTGACAGGACACATAAACCTGCCACTTCACACAGAGATGTATATGCCACTTACAGTGCTGCTTATAGTTTTGTAGCAGGAATTTTGATAAACTCCACATTGTGGAGTTCCTATCAAAAAAGAAAGATAGCAGGGAGCATTTATAATTGCATGTGCTGAGTATTCCTTATAGGAAATATCTTCTTTTTTGAGTTGATCTCAGTATGAAATGACAACTTAGTGATAACTGATAGGATTTTGCACAGCTTTGCTTCTTGTTCTGCACATATCCTTTTTTCTCCTCCATCACCCACGTACTGCCAGGCATCTTGGGAATCATTCATATTGGGAAGTGGGATTAGAGTGGGAAGAAACAGTGGTCTTAAACCAGTTGTAGTCTTACAATTTTATTTTTTTAAATAAAAAATACACATGACCCTAAGACATTGCTGGGGCCTCTCCCAGTGCCTTGAATGGGCCCATGCAAGTGCAAGTTCCTGAAGTTCCAGCTTCACTGGCTGTACAGAAAATCTGCCTCTAATAGTGCCTGCCTTCCCTAGATGTTTGTAAGGCTCACATGAGGTGTTTGTGAGGACACAAAGTGTCTGACACACAGCGAGTGTTGAATGCAATGGCAATTCCTGAACGAC